TTTACAAAACACTTTCTTCAAAATGACTCATTCAAATATAACAAACTCTACAATCTCTAGCCATTATTATAATTACCTCGAGTTATCGTCCTCCAGTGTATCAGCAACTCTTTCATCTGCACTGGACTGGAAGGCTTGCTGACGGTACTCACGGTTAAGAGGAACAATTCTAAAATTAATATGTAATTTTACAAAACACTTTCTTCAAAATGACTCAATTCAAATATACAAACTCTACAATCTCTAACCATATATTAAATTACCTCGAGTTATCGTCCTCCAGTGTGTTCAGCAACTCTTTCAACCGTACTGGACTGGAAGGCCTTTCCTGATGGTACTCACGGTTAAGAGGAACAATAAAATTAATATGTAATTTTTACAAAACACTTTCTTCAAAATGACTCAATTCAAATATAATAAAACCTACAATCTCTAACCATTATATTATAATACCTCGAGTTATCGTCCTCCAGTGTCTCAGCAAACTCTTTCAATCCGTACTGGACTGGAAGGCCTTTCCTGATGGTACTCACGGTTAAGAGGAACAATTCTAAAATTAATATGTAATTTTTACAAAATACTTTGTTCAAAATGACTCAATTCAAATATTGCAAACTCTACAATCTTTAACCATTATTATAATTACCTTGAGTTATCGTCCTCCGGTGTCCTAGCAACCCTTTCACTCTGCACTGGACTGGAAGGCCTTTGCTGACGGTGCTCACGGTTACGACGCTTCGAATTTCTGTTATATTTTATAGCCATATCCACAAGCAGCATTACCACTCCCAAACCTACGGCAGCTACAGTGCCAAAAACAGCGAGTGGAGAACTCATATCAAAACTGAAAGAGATAATAAGAAAATTTAATAAATTATTAGAATAAAATCATTACGACATACTACATAAAATAGGTAAGTATGGGTAAGTGTGTGTGCTGGTTGAAGTATGAATGCAAATCTAAATAAACATTTGTCATGTTAGGCTAGGCTGTTTTATAGAAGTATTACAATAGTTTCATAATTAAGATTCTCAGTTTTTCACATAAGCGCGTTCCAATACTTTTGATTATAAAATTTCTAACACCAGCATTGATAGATGTAATAAAATTTCAGATTTAGGAGTTCTATTTGATTCTGGTTTGTTTTTCACGGATCATATAACTGATATTTGCAATAGAGCACACAAATCTTTAGGTTTGATACTGAGAAATTGTAAACAATTCAGTTCTACCAATGCACTTCTTTGCATGTACTATTCTATTGTACGTTCAAAATTAGAATATGGTTCGATTATTTGGTATCCTCATCAAACCAACAACTCTGATGCGATAAAGAAGGTTCAGCAAAAATTTCTGAAATATCTCTATTATAAAATATATAAAATTCACCCTGAGCGTGGCTTTGACCACAACACTTTACTAAAAGAATTTGGTATTCCTTCCTTTGCCTCACGTCGATTTATCTGTACAATTATGTTTTTATTTAAACTTTGCAATAATTCTATAGACTGTCCTCTTATTCTTATCAAATATCCTTTAATGTTCCAAGGCTTTCTACGCGTTCACAATTATTTTTAATTATCCTACTCCTAAATCTAATTCTCTCTTAAATTCGCCTATTTTACTTATGTCCTCTAACTTTAACTTAATTAATAATGAAATAGATATTCACAACACTTCACCTAATCAAATAATCTCCATCTGCACAAGTTAACCTTTTTATTTTCTTTTCAAATATCTCATTATTTTATCTTATTCTGTTTATAAATAATATTGTTACATTCTGCATTATATGTAATTTTATGTTAAGCATTTTATGTTAATAACTATATATTGTAATTTTGTATATATTTTAATTGTTATTCATTATGTAAAATAACTGTATTTTTGAGTCCTCTTGGAGTAATGTGTGGGCTTTATATTTAAATAAATAAATAAATAAATAATTGTGACAAATATATTATCAAAATTTTTATTGTGAGCAACTAATATTAAACATGATGGTAATTCGATAATCTCGGCAAGTACAAATAAAAATTTTGTGAAATATCACAATTTGCAAATATTTTTAAAACTCAAAAATATATAAACAAGACAAAATGGCTGACGATTACTAACACACAAAATTCATGTAATATTTATTTATGTAATAGCTCAAAATATAGATTTATCATCTTGCATCATGAAACTAAAGACATATCATAACATAAACGTATTTTAATATTATTTTTATATATAAAATAACAACAAAAATAGTATAAACACAACCAACAAACACTTATATAATTTATTTCTACAACTCACCGTTCGTCCTACTAACAGTTAAAACACAATTTCTTCACACAAAAAACTCGGCCACTGTCTAAAAACTATTCAATTTATCACTAAAGACTTCAAGAGTTTATTTTTAAGTAAAACAACGCTTTGTGTGTATTTAAACAAGTGTAAATAACATAAAAGCAATCGTGTAAAATACTCAACGGCAGCCATTGAACAATATTGAACCATATGTCATTTTTCATAGAGGAGTAGTGTTGCCACACTATTAATATCTTCGGGGAATCCCCTCGAGTATTGCCATAAACGAGGTAATTACGAGCGAAAATTTGAATTTGGAAAAAACTCAATATTTTACATTGAATTTGTTAATTTAAATTATTCACAAATTAGTTTTTGCCTAATTGTGATAAGTTTTGCAGTTTCTTTTATCATTTCTTTGAATTACTTTTAGACATAAACCTTTGTAGAAATATTATTATTATTTAATGGCTTAAAATAAATTTTGGATACATCAAGTTACTGTAGAGTATTACAATGTTATAATTTTTTTATATACATCATTAATATAAATCAAATGGCTTTTAAGAGTTGTATATCATAAAATTGCACTTCATTATTCAATATCAATTCAAGTATATCAGGATATACCGAGTTGCTCTAAAAATTTGGTGTTAATAAAAATTTTAAATTGAATAATTTTGTACAAACTTTCCAAATACATAATTCGTATAATTCGAAGGGTTTTGAAGGTATAACTGATATATAAAAGTATTGCATTTAATTACATCATTGTTACATTTTAATATTCAACAATGATTTTAGAGTATACCAAGTTGCTTTAGAACTTTTTGTTATTAATAAAACTTCTAGATTATTTAATTTTGTACAAACTTCCAAATACATCTTTCATGCAAATCAAATAGTTTTAAAGTTATGGCCAATATAAAAAAAGGATTGCACAAAGTGTCTCATTAGGATTTAATTTTAATATTCAATTATAACTTAAAAGAATACCGACTTGATGCAGATTTTACTATTATTAAAGAATGATGTACATGACTCAAGTTTGGTTTAAGTTGTATTTGTTTTAATAAAATATTTAAAGATTTTCAGACAAGATACAAAATGTATGTACTTCAAAAGAGCTTAAAATAATATCGAGTTTTGATTGTAATTTCTAACAGTTCCTATAGAGTTTCTTTAAATAGTTTTAGGGTTTTAAAATAATTGTAGCCCTTTTTGTACAAATTCAAACTTTATCAATAACGATGCCAAACAATTTTAAAGTACTTCTTTTATAGAAAATTAATCAGAAATATTTAATAAATAATATTTTAGTAAATATTTCATGTGTATAAACATTCTTAATTTAATCTATTTCATTTATCTGAATTTACAAAATTATTAATCATCTTTCACAAAGTAATTCATTAATACAAATAAAGGTATAAAAATCAAGTAATATATATATATATATATATATATATATATAAGAAAGTCAATTAACAACTTCTTACATTATAAATAAATTCATTTACCATGTCAAGTATAAATTTAAACCTAAATCCATACCCATTCAACTAATTCTTTCGATTCTAACAAATCTATTTTTACCAGCAAAATCTTTATACATCCTTAAGTCTTAAATTAAATTTATGCTTATCGTTTTCCTCTTGCAACCATTTTGCTAATAATTCTGGATGTGTTGTATCGACTTCTAAGAAGACACTTCCATTTATAATTAATTTCTGTGAGCATAGTTTTAATATTGGTTTTATAACAGTCAGTCCATCGGGGCCACCATCTAGTGCTCTTAAATCTTCATATCTAAAAAAAAGCAAAGAGATATTTATATATATATGAATATATATATAAGTAGTAAATTTATTTGTATACAATTTGATTTCCGGTTGCAATTTAACTAAATCCCCTGTAGGTACATAAGGAGGGTTGCTCACGACACAATCATAAGGCCCTTCCAGCACCTGAGTCAACAAATTATCATCAGACAGTTTCGCTTGCAATAAACGCAAACGCTCTGATAATCCCAAAGCCAAAGCATTATCTAACGTTGTTCGACAAGCGTGGAGACTCTGATCCACTGCTGTAGCCTTAAGCTAAAAAATATCATAAACAATGTGATTATATATTTAAAATGTACATACTATTTTTTTACCTTTGGTAGTTGTTTCAACAATGCTAAGATAATAGCCCCAGAACCACAGCCAATTTCAAGTATTTTCAAAGACATTGAGGACTTGTTTATGAAATGTTGTAAAACTAGATCAACTAATTGTTCAGTCTCTGGTCGTGGTATAAATACAGGTGGTACCACTTTTAGTGTTAAGTCTTTGAAGTCCCATTCTCCTATAATGTATTGCACGGGCATGTGTGCCATTCGGCATTGGCATAACTTATCGATTAACTTTAGTTGGGCTGTTGAAACGTGCCGGTGACAACTTTTATTCACATCAGAAATCTAAGAGAAAAATATAAATTTAATGTTAAAATATGTTACATGTGTCATTTTCCTCTTACTGTTTTGTGTGCCAGCACATGTGCCAATATATATTCAATAGATTGCTTAGGTTCCGAAATATCCGACACCTCAAATTCATTCTTCCATTTATTAATTACATCTTGTATAACAAAACATTTGTTTTCTTCATTCCTATTCGAAAATTGCACTGTACAATAACTATTAGTATGCCTATTATTATTTACTATAGGTATAACACAATTTCTAAAATTTGAAAAACTCCTACAAATTGTTAAAGTCATTTTAAATTAAATAAATATAAATAAATAAATTTATGCTGAAGACATTTGCCAGGTAAGAAAAACAAAGATGACGTTTGGGTGACATAAATGTCAACCTAAAAATTATCAAAGTAAATATAATATTGAGTATATTTAAAACGTGGTGAAATAAATTAAACTAAGATAACGACAAATATACAGAAAATTAGTTTATAACATTAACATTTTTGAAATTTAATATAAATTATTTAATTTTAATTTGACATTTATATCGCGCAAACTTCAAGTGTGTTCACCTGTCACAATTAACATTCAACGGTTTTTTCAATTTAAAATCAAGGAGTTAAATAAAAAGTTACTTATACAAATTAAACTAAGATTATTACAAATGTACAGAAAATTAGCTTATAACATTAACATTTGTGCAATTTAATATAAATTATTTAATTTTAATATTGATATTTATATTGCACAAACTTCAAGTATCAAATTTCACATTCAACAGCTTTATAAATTCAAAATTAAGCAGATAAATAAATAGTTACTTAAACATGGTGATATAAATTAAACTAAAATTATTACACATGTACAGAAAATTAGCTCATAACATTAACATTTTTGCAATTTAATACAAATTATTTAATTTTAATTTGACATTTATATTGCTTGATTATTCAAGTGTCAAATTTCACATTCAAAGTAAAATAAAAAGTTACTTAAACATGGTAAAATAAATTAAACTAAGATTATTACGTATGTACAGAAAATTAGCTTATAACATTAACATTTTTGAAATTTAATATAAATTATTTAATTTTAATATTGATATTTATATTGCACAAACTTCAAGTAACAAATTTCACATTCAGAGATTTTTTAAATTTAAAGTAATTAAATTAAAAGTTAATATTTTCTAAAAATAGTAAATTTTCTAAATTTGTAACTGATTATTTTACATATAATTGACTATTTAATACATCAATACCAAATAATATATAAATAGTCAATATCTAGCCAAATTGTATGCGATACACATATAATAAATTAATATTTTTAAACTAAGAATATAATATCGAGTGAAATATGTGTAATATGAATTACAAAATAAATTACATGGTTATTATAAAATATCAACAAATGTTTTAAATTACTCATATCTTTTAACAATCTATATAATTTTTTGGGAATTAACATTATTTTTATGTAAATAAAAATATTTTCAAACAATCTGAGTTAGCTCCAGATAACGTGCAACATTTTTAAATATATTATAATATACAATATTTTTTTTTACAACTTACATATATAAATAAATGTATATTTAGATAATGTACAACATCTTTGGACAATGTGCAACATTTACAGGTGCATTATAATAAGTAAATATATAATATTATATAACACATGATTTTTTTTTACTAACATTAAATATTTATTAATCTTTGGCACTTATAAATTTATTTTAAATTTATTACAATATGACTCGAATTATTGTACATAACTAATTTACTTACATTTTTGTAAGTATTTATTTCTGATAAATTGTATGAATAAACAATATTTGAATTTTAGAAATGGAACAGACTTAAAAGTGAAACTGATCGATGTTGATCAGAAAACACAAGCTGAATTATCCGAAATGTTACCAAACAAACTTTAGTGACATCAAAATAAATTAAGTAAAAAAAAATATATTTATGATATTTAATAAACGTTTTGTAAGAACAAGAACATGTGGTGTATTGACCCGGCGCCATAGCTCCGGGTCTTTAATTATAAAGTAAATAAAACTTGCTTATTGAGCATCAAATGCTAATGGTTTGAAAAACAAGAACTTGAACTCTCATTAAAATATATTACTGTGATATTAAACTAAACATTTATTTTTTACCCAAATATATCTTCATTCAACTATCAGTTACCAAGTAACTACATGGTATAAAATTGCTCCGACAAACAGATGTAAATTATGGGAACTCTTGATAGCACCATTTTCTGCAAAATAGAAACCAGACATCAAACAATTTGTATATCAATTAATAAATAATTATTAATAATAATAATTATTAATTAATAATTATCAATTATTATAATTGAAATATTTATGATATTTACTGAAACATTTTAAATCCTTCTGATAATGATCTGGTTTGCATCTGCACATTCCAGAGTGACAGTCCATTGTTTCTGGTGCTCGAGTCATTGGTGGAACGTTGCAATGGTCATCGTTTAGACATTCTTTTCCAACATCTGAAAAAATAATTTAAAAAATTAATAAAATAAATGTATGAACTTGTAATTGATAGACTGAATTACATTTATTTACACTGGAAGATTTTATAGGAATAAAACAGGATTCAGCAAAACGTCGGAGTTAAAGAGGAAGAAAATTGATAGAGATCGATATAGAGAAAGAGATAGATATAGATGAAGAGATATTTATATAGAGAGTAAAAGAGATAAAAATAAGTGGTTTAATAAATATAGAGAAAAAAAGGAAGATTTAAAAATATATAAACAATTTACGAAAAAAATTACGAAGTAATGGATACAAATTAATTCAACTATATGATATGATATACGTAGAAAAAGAAAATTATAATTGTAATTTATTATGTTAATTATCTTCACTATTTTTTTATTGACACATCAAACAAAATGTTTAAAATAAACATTTTTTAAGAATTTAATATAAAGCAATATGAAATTTTATGTAATAAATTGTTAAAAGTAATACTTATATATTTTTGATGATGTACCTATATGAAATTAAAGCGAATGCACAGCATCGTGCCTTACGGCAAATTGCTGGAACTTCCCCACCAAAAATTAAATTAAAAAAAAAAACTTTGAAAAAATTAAATTTTAGTATAATTTAAAATTTTTGAAAATTGACTTTTTTGGAAAATTTGATTTTTATACTTGAGATATTTTGAACTTTAGCTCTGCTTTAGCTGCATAGAGACGAATTATCGAAGCGCGTAAGCCGTCTAACGGATAAACATTGGTACGGAACACATAGGAATGTAAACAAAATTTATACTTAGTATCAAAATCTCCATAAAATATCTGAAATAATAATTATAAGTTACGTTTATAAATGAAAAAAAAAATAGTAACTTAAAAATATACTCGATCACTTTTGCTCAATAATATATTTGTCTCTTTTGCTCAGTAATGTATTTGTCTCTTTTGCTCAGTAATGTATTTGTCTCATTCGCCCAATACATTTTGCTCTTTCACTCAATAGTATATTGTCTCTCTCACTCAATATAGGGAACCCCCGCATAACACCGTACTTCTATAACACGGTTTAAGAATTGATACCATACCCTTACAACACGGTACTTTTGAAACGAGGGTTCGCTCTAACACGGTTTGAGAATTGAGCAGTACAATAGCTCAAGAAATGTGATGAAACTAATGTAAAAGATAACTAATTTAATACTTATTATTCAAGCGCGTACGTTCTATGTATATAAAAGAATTTTAGGCCTATCCGAACAATTAGTCAATTAGTCTTCAACAAAGATCCTTTGAATAAAATGAGAACACAATGTTAATAAAGATAACATTGCATGTTAATTATGCTTGCACTTGCTTGTTAGTTCTGACGAAAAAAATCATAATTGATGTAATGTATATTACTTCTCAAAAAATTAATAAACATAACAATTATATTCATTATAAAATCATGATATGTAGCTGTATGTTTTTTGAATTCTTGGAAAGTAACCCCTTATTTTGTACTAGTTCTTTGTCGCGTATAACACGGATTTGCATAACATGCTACTTTTTTGGAACGTATCTACCGTGTTATACAAAACCGTTCGAAAGATATTGGTTGGGAATCGTGCTAATTAGTTTTTGGTACAGATCGGCCAAGTATTAAATTTTTTTCGACAATTTTTTTTTGACGGTAGATACCGTCTTCTAGGTCATACTAAAATATTACGGCCCTACGACAATTAGTTTAACTTTAAAAATTCGTCAAAGTTTGCAAAAATTGGTATCGTTTTTTGGCATTTGTCAAAATTAGACCCTTTCATCGACATTTTATCAAAAACGTCTGAACCGATTTCAGAAATTTAAAAGCCATTTGATGTATCTCAATAAGGACTATTGTTTGTCAGTTTTGTGCGACAATCTGCCAAGCCGGTTCTTTATAATTTTAAATTAAAAATTTTAAAATAAGTGTTAAACTTTTCATCCACATTTAAGCTCATACTACCGAATCGATTTGAAAAAATCAAAAACTGTTCGAAAGATATTAGTTGCCTCAAGGCTAAATACCAATACCAACTAGTTTTTTATATGATTAATTTCACTCACATGGAATGACATCGCAATAGGTCTTATTCTCGTTGGCGACAAAGTCCTCTTTGCAGTCGCACAATTTGTCCTCGCACTGAGAGCCCTTTCCCATATTGAATTCGCACTGCGAGTGCTCCGTGCAGATGTCGCCGAGTTTATCAGCAATCGGCAAACATACCTAAACAAAATAAATAAACATTTATTTTATAATAGTTTCTCTCTGTTTTATCTATTTCTACTGACCGATCCGTCCAATTTGGCCAAATATCCATCGTGACATCTGCACAACCGATCCACACATTCGGAGTACAAGATATGCTTACAGTTGCCTTCGTTGAAACAACCCAAATTTATCTTCGATTTCGCGATACAGGATCCGTTGTAAAAATTAAATTTATCTCCACAAACGCAGCTTCCATTTTTGCAAACAGTGTCGTCCATCACGCCAAGACATTGTTTGATGTCTTCGCAAGTTTCTTCGGTCGAATTCAGAGGTTTTAGGCACTTTTTTCGGTCGGCAGATTCGACGCCGAACTCCGGAGGACAGAGGCACTTTTTGGTTGCAGGGTCGCAGATGGAATTCAGGGGTTTGCAGTTTTGGGTTGTTTCGCACGTGAATCCCACACTGTTACTTTGTGACCCTGAAGATAAAAGAAATAGTAAATAATAAAAAAACTAGCTGTAAGTGGAATTCTGTCTTAAGGCAATTAAGGCATCGTGCCTTAAGGCAAATTGCTGGAACTTCCCGTACCAAAAATTATTATTTTTTTAAAAACGATTGACATTTTTGAAAAAAAATTTACTTTGAAAAAATTAGATTTTTGACAAACAATTAGACAAAAAATTACTTTTTTTTTGAAAAAAAATGTTTTTTTTATTTTCACATATTTTGAAAGATCTAAACTTTTTTTCAAAGCAATCGTACTGCTTTAACTGCATAAAGACGAAATATCAAACCGCGTAAGCGCCGCGTCGACGTCTAACGCGTAAACATTGGTACGGAACCCATAGGAATGTAAACCAAAATTATACTTATCGTTAAAATCTCTAAAAAAATATCTGATAATTTGATGTGCATATGTCTAATGATCATTTTTGACCGCCAAATGGCATTTTTTTTTACTTTTTTCATTAGATCTCCGAAACCGCTAGACCTGCCTTTATAAAAATTTGATCGGTTCTTCACCTTGTCAATACAAGTGAAATGTTTTTTGAATTATTGAAATCGGACGCTCCGTTCTCTTAAAAACTGAGTTACCGTTTCGCCACTTTTTGCCCCGTATCTTCGGAACGGCTAGACCTGCCTTCGCCAAAAACTAATCAGCACGTCTCCTTATCAATACGAATCGAATGTTTTTTGAATTATTCAAATCGGTAGATCGGTGTTCCCGAAATCGTCGACGAAAATTTGTATCCGCACATACATACACACACGCACACGCACAAACACACACACACACACACACATACATCCATTTTTTCTAAGGTATGCCAAAATATTCAGAAACCTTTGAAACGTTGAGAAATGCAAAAATTTTCATTTTCTATTTTTTTGCGATTACTATAACTTGCCCTACGGGAAGTTAATAATAAGTAAATTATAGTAAATAATTAGGAATTTATTAGTAATGAGTTTAATGATAATAATAATAGTAATAATTTTAAGTTTTTGATCAATATTACAATATACTAGATGACCCGACAGACGTTGTCCTGTATCCACGTCTACAATTTAAGTTCCAAATTTTTTAATATCCTATCCTATACTTTTTAATATTCTATTTAATGTCCTTCCATTAATGGCCTAAGCATAAGCTATATACTTATTGGAAAATGCAGTTTTTGGATCAGTACAAGAAATTCAGAAAGAATAAATATTGTATCTACGATAAAAGAACAATATCACATTCGTTATTTCCAACCAATATAATAGCTCCAATAATTTATATATTATTAATAAGTATATAATTAATATAATTGCGTACCCTATCACTTTTGGCAATTAAAATTTCTAAATTACATTTTTCTATATAATAATTTAATAAACATTAATACTTTAGTTAATTTGTAAAACTTAATTTATATGGCACTGTTCAATCTAAGACCACAAAACTCTTAATCATTCTTTCAATAAGTGAAAATATTATAAGCAAAATACAACATGCTTAAGTTTAAAAAAATAATGTATATGCAATTTTGGACGTATTGTGTTACTTATTAACCCTCCGTCGGTCGGATATTTTTTCACCTTCGAACGGTCGGAAAGGTCTGGCTGGGCCAACCATTCATTTTACATGCATTTATATGGGATAAATGAGTTTTTGGTGTCTTATGTATTAACGATTATATAAAAAAAACAAGAAATATAAAAAAACGTTGCTTTTGAAGTAAAACTTCTTTAGGCGCGATATGGGTGTAAAAATTTTTAGGCGCGACACGGGTGTAAATCCGTACAAATGCAACGAAAATGCCAACGTGTAGTTGAACACTACGACGCCGTAAGCGCTGATGTCGCGAGTATCCACTCACGTCATGTCATGCGTAAGTCGAGCGCTAAACCCGCTATATGAACTTGCATTAATTGAATCACATTTTTTTTACAAAAGAAGAGGTTGCTGTATTATGTCCTCATGGAATAAGACTTTTCTTAGAGAATAAATGTGCCATGGAATATAATAAATTTATATTGAATCTCGTTGAAGACAAAATAATATCTACTGCCACGGATATTTATGTAGGTTGCCATGCGACAGATCAACAATCATACATTCGTCAGCAGTTTCAAAAAAATCGGTTATTGATACCGGGGCTTTGCCGTATGAAATAATTTTAGTTCTGAATAAATTTTACATAATAACAACTAATATTGATGTAAGTGATGGCTTAGCTAATGGTTGTGTGGGAAAATTAGTGTACATAGAACGTGGCGATAATGATGAACTTCTACGTTTATGGTTTGAATTTCCCGGTAAGATAGGTAACAAAATTAGGAAGAAAGCTTCACATCATATTCAAACTCTTAATATCAGTAGGACAGCTGTGCCGATCTGATGCTCAGGAGATCTTATTATTATTGATGTTATATGATTATTAAAAGATGATTTTTAAAATTCAAATATGATGTTTTTTTTATTTTTATCTTAATTGCCTACTCATACAATATTAAAAGTTTTACTTCAATCGCGTGTGATCCTTACGCGCACTCTTTTTTTTTGTTAATTTTTCTATTTTAAATCAATGAAAAACAGTATTTATTTTTTTTGACGCCTGAATGAATGTGTGCATTACTCATCCGATTTTCAGTGTTTGCGATTACCAATAAGTTTGGTAGGTTTTCAAGAAACTCTCGTCATGAAAATACTAACATTCATGTTACAACACATAGCAAAGAATATAAACAACGCAGTTTGAATAGAAAATACCACGAAAAAGCGTATATTTCATACAAAATGTATGGGTGGTCTAGACAGACCTTTCCGACCGTTCGAAGTATAAAAAAAAATTAAATCCTTATAATTATCCTTCTGTACATTTTTTCGTCCTGATTTTTTCATTGATCGACAGCTAATGTCGATTAGCATTAGTCGGAAAATTCAAGAAATTTCAAGTCGATAGGATTACTAGAAGTATTTTTTTTTTCTAATTGAAGTCGAAAAAAGTCTGGCCAGACCACGCCGACCGACGGAGGGTTAAACTAATTTATATAATTTTTACTATTGTAGATATTACATTTTTCTTATTTATAATTATGAATTGGATATTATATACTAATATTGTCTAGGCTCGCTTAAACTAAATTCAAATTTCAAGTGAATCAATATTTTTGGCAGATGACAGTTCTCATGGCAAGCAATGATATGTTGCTTTTTGCAATTATTTCCATTTATTTCTACAATATTACTGTAGTTTTATAATTCTTCACATCTGGAAAAGTTCCCTCGACAAACTCTTAAAAGATTTATTAAAATCCGAATAACCGTTTAGGAGGAGTGTCAATCTATACATCATTACAGAAGAATTTTATATATAAGATTGTCGATAAAAAAGTTTGTGCATGTTTTTTGAAAGTTCTTGTTAGGTTTTAAAGAATAAAATTATTAAAATTATTCAAAATTCTTATTACAAGATTAAATCATATATATCGATTAAAATTGTACTATAAAATTTTTATTAATAAAATAAATTTTAAATGCAATATTAGACTTCTATTGAATAATTGTTCATAATCATGTCGAAACTTTTTGTAACATATGAAGCAATATATCACTCTGCTTTTTTCCAAAAGTACGATTATGCAAAATTGTTTAAACTTTTGTTTGCAGCAAATTGCAATTAGTATTTATTCATATCATTCTTTGAATGAAATTACATTTATTCATGAAGATGTAATTTTATAAAAAATCAACTCACATTAACTCTTAACATATGCTATAACTAATATTACAACTATTTTTTACAACATTTGTATATATACCTTACAATATGATGCAGTAAAAATAATTCATGATGCTTCATAACATTGGAGCGATTAGTATAATAAATATTTAAACTTATTGTGAGTACAATGCTCTAGCATTTTTAATTTTTTTAGGTTTTGGAAACTGAATTATATAATTTCATCTGCCAGACATATACTAATGTTGACTGTATCTTATTTTTAATTTCTGGCACTTGTTAGCTGCCTTTTGGTTATAATAATGTAGACATTACATTTTTCTTGTGTTTTACATTCTAAAAATATCTAGGCTCATAATTTCAGCTAAATTCAAATTTCAAGTGAATTGACATTTCTGTTCAAATGTTTTCAATGTCAAACAATAAGTGTTTTTTGTAATTTTTGCCATTTATATGTACAATATTATAATAGTTTCATTGTTCATTAAATCTTAAACATTTCCTTTGATGAACTCTAAAAAGAATTATCAAAATCCGAATAACCGTTTAGGAGAAGTATCAAATCATACACCCGTAACAGAAGAATTGTATATATAAGATATGATAAAAATATTATTACCTGATTTTTATATATACAAGTGGTAACATTCTTCATATCCTCCGTATAGCAAACGCATTTTCCATCTTCACATCGCGATTTGTCCCCATAGATGTAGAAACACTGGTCGTTCGATGTGCATAACAATTCGGGACTAGTCGACACTAAAAATTAAAAAAATAAAACAAATTAAAAAAAAAATAAAATTCATTCATTAATTATTAAATTTATCATATGTCCGAAATAAAAATATTAAAAATTAAAAAATAAATATATAAATTCAATAAGCATAATTAAAACATTTATTAATTATTAAATAGATAGAAAGTAAATAAGTATTGGCATAATAATTTAACACATTTTTTTATTATTACCTATACCAACTATAAAAAATAAATTTGGGTGCATGATAATTTAATAAGAATCTCAATAATTATCTAAATATCAATTAGTGCAATTACTAATTGCAAAGTTTTGCATGCCATTATTGTAAATAAATAAAAAAGTTAATTAAAATAAATACCAGGCGGATGATAGTATAAACATAAAAATCAATTTCAAACTTTTTCCTAATTATATTATATTTATAGATATCTATGTTAATATTTTTTTTAATTACAACTTGTTAATA